GACAGACCACAGCCTCTGAGTAAGTTAGTGTTTTCCAAGGCAGTGTTCTCATCATACTGGAGAAACCGCTTTTTTTTTTTTTTTTTTTTTTTTTTGCGGGTGTGCGGAGAAGTAGGGTTGGACTAAGGGTCTGTAGACCAGTGGTTTGGAGTCGCTGGTTATAATGGAAGTAGCACAGGCTTCCGAGGCAGAGAACTGGGACTTCATCTGACTCCATCGATTGCTGGCTGTGTCCTAAGTAGTGAACAGGGCCTGGTGCCCACCTCATGAAAAATAACCATGATCCTGGATGTCAGGGACCTGGATGGCACATGGCACAGATGGTTTCTTTGTTCAGGGGACATGAAGAAGACACGTAATATTCATCAAGTTCACAACAAGGTCAATGCTTAGCTCCAGGCTCCTACTGAGTGGCACCATCATCCCAACAAGAAACCCAGCTTTGCTTCCAGTCTCAGAATCAGGGACCCAAATACAACTGCTGACTTTTCCATAACAGGCTGTGTAGTGTACTTGCTCCCAAATGTTTTAAAACTGGGAATAATCTTCCAGGATCTGGAAAAATATCCAGATGAAATTACTAGACAAAATAGAAGCTTTTAGTCACCCATGCATGGCCTAATTTTCTCCTCCTTCTAGAGATTTTGGGGCAGCCTCTGACTTCTAATCTATGTGTGTGCTGGTTACGCACCACCTGAAAAAGAAAATAGGGTATGACGACTCATAGCACACACACCAGGGGTTTTCTGATCCACCAGCAACAGACACCACTTCCTCTCATCACTCAGTGAAACCAACAGGAAAATTCTTTTTACAACACAGCAGGGGGAAATGATAAAAATGATCTTTTTAACATGAACAGACCATATTTCTATATTTGCATTGGGATCTTTTTCCACTTTTAAATATTTCTCCAGCCAGCCATCTGAAGTCGAAACCAGGAAACGGCCAACAAAGAATGGAAATAAGATGTGTTCTGAATGGTGAATGTATTCCATTAGTCAACTCTTGGCAAAATTCTAGGATCCTCTTGAGACTGTAATCCTCTCGCCTCCTGCATCACTTGAATCCCGACTGCCATTGAAGTTAGAGTCAGACACATGGCTGGCATGTAAGTGAGACTAACGAGCACTTAAAATAAACATTTTGGTCTGATCTGTGTGATGTAACTAAGTGTCAGGCATCCTAAAGTACAAACACACAAATATTAGGGTAACGTGCACGCCCTATCTAGCAATGTGATTAGATATCTGTCGCACACACGTCTTCATTGCACAAAATTACTGCATGCTTCATGGTTAGCTTTTCAGGTGATAACAAAAGGTCCCTGAAGCTCTGAATCAAAACAGCCACATCAAAGTGACAGCATCAAAATGTCATGAGCCCACCAGTTTTTATTGAGGGAATTCCTGTGACTAGTTCTCTTGGAATAGAGCAAATGTTCCAGGCTCAGAAGGCTCCTGCATCCTGCAAATACAACAAGAAAGAAACTTGCCATGTAATTAGGGCCTCAGCTTGCAACTGGGGCACTGGGTGCCCCCCAAGTACTCTTTGTAAGCATTCTTTACCAGCATAAGTGATCATTGTACCCCCAAAACACAAGGAGAGTCTAAAATGGGGGCTACTGTAGAAAATAACATTGCACTATTATATAAAATAATATAGAGCTATTTGTAAGTCTTATATATCTCCAGGAAAACAGAAGTGGTTTTCAAAATGAGATTATAGGGGCCTCCTTGGTGATGCAAGGAGTTAAATCCCAGCACTATGAAGCTACCCACAGCCCCTGCAGCAAGAGTTTGACCCCTGCCAAGGAGATGACCCACATGGCACAACAGACCTCTCCTGTCTTCCCCACAGCTCCCCTCAGCAGTGTGCTTCAGTAGCTCTGCCTGTTCTGCCCACTCTGTGTATGGTGAATCCTCTCACCTCCCACATCTCTGGCCTATACCCCAGTTCTTGTATGCATAAATAAATCTTTTCCAAAAACTAATTAATTAATTAAAATGAGATTATACACATGCACAGCTATATAAATGCTGGTTACTGAATGCACATAGTAACAGTGGAAGCACAGGATAATGGGGGTTTATGAAGTATTCTCTGTGCCTGACACTGTACTCTGCAATGGGTAAGATGTAATCCTTGCTCCTAAGGAATATTGACGGGGAGCAGGAAGCACCTTGTGCTCTACTTGTGTGTGTCTGCTTCACATATTGGCCACGACCGATCTCAGCACAGGGTGCTGTGGAAAACGGCAAGGACAGGTGTAAAGTCCACTTTGGGGAAGAAGTTGAAGAAGGGCCCGAGGAGGTGCTGATGCCAGAGCTGGGCCCTAGGGAAGGATCTCATCTCAATGTTATCATCCTCACAGGCTGCAAACCCTGGGAGAGCAGGACTGTGAGTTCTGCACTCAGACCAGAACTTGACAAATGTTGGTGCCAAGAAATTAAGAACTGGAGAGCCGCTCTGTGGGCACCCTGCTCTGTTCCGGAACAAGGCCCCTCTACAGCTAGACAGGCAGCATCCAGTTCAGCCAGCCTCTTCCCACTCTGGCCTACCTTCTAACATTTATGTGGGGGTACATATTATAGACTCCCACTGTTCTGGTGCTGAAGATATCACAAGTAACAAAAACACAAACAAAGCCCTTGCTCTGGCGGAATGGATGTTTGAGCAGGAAAATAATGTATCCATATATTTCAAATGGAGACGCATGCTAGGAAGAGGGTGGCCTGTGGAAGGAGACTTTTGCATCAGGTGGTCAGAGAAGGTTTCTAGGATAAGGAGACATTTGTATAGAAACCTGGAAGAATGACAGGGTCTCCTGTATAATGATACAATGTGACCAGAGCTCAGAGAAGACACAAAATAGATGCCACTTGCAAGCTATCTATCCAAATGAGAGCCTGGAGCAGCTACAAAATACAATTCCTAATGCCCGTATGTTGGTGCTTAGCACAGGCACTGATTCAAAGGGAGTCCCACCACCACTGAGATGTATCCGCTCATGAAGGAATTACACAGCTAATTCCTCCTTCCAGGAAGGCAATGGTTACCAGGGAGAGGTAAGTCAAACCTGGGCCAAAGGCCTGAGGTCACAGCAGCTGCAGGTTTGCTCCCAGGCAACGGAACAGAAAAAGCAGGACCTGGTTTGGATAAGTTCACTGAAGGAACACAGTTTTGCCAAGGGTGCACACTGGCCTACTTCAAACTTCCTTCCCTGAACAGTGGCTGTGCAATGGAAAGCCCCGGTGTGGCTTGGATATTCCAAATCAGGAATTTCCAAGCCTGATGCTCCTCAGCACTAGATTTCACCTCTATTCTATTGGAGCACCTTTTGGATGGAGGATTTAGCCGCGAAATTCCTTAACAGCGGAGGTTTCTCTAAGCTACCTCTACTGGATCTCTCTCCATTGCCCACCAGAGTCAGACCATGTGATGGAACAGCTGTTTAGATAATTTAAAACTTTAACAATCACCCTATCATTTCCTTCAGCCCTAACTGCTCCACTGAATTATTTAAACAGCTGTTAACTTTGCAGTCCTGGCTCTTTCTCACGCAAATTCACATGAGTCCTCTTTCAATGGCCAACTCAGCTAATTGTGCAAAACATCATCTGTGACTCAAAGGGGAAGGTGTAATGGGGCTGGTGCTAAGTTTTAAACTATTCTCAGAACCTGCTTTTCATTAACATTCTGTTTCCCTCTCCCTGCCAAGTGCCTCTAATAATAGGCTCATTAGATGTGGTGTCGATTCAGATTTCCTGCTTGCACACTTTAGTGGAGCCTTATCTGGCATCAGCTTTTTTACTTCGCTGATTCAATGAGGTGGCAACAGAAAATTCCTCAGGAGACCTAAGAGCAATAGGTGTGGTTTTGTCTAGAGAATGTGAGGTCTGCAACAGGCATCATTCAATAACTGGTTCTCTGCTGCTCGAGTCTACAAACGTGGGGAGTCACAAAATAGATGACA